CTCTCTGCCGCTGCGTCCCATAGATAGGTTGACAGTACGGGAACCATTATCACGCCTGCCACAGATGAAGAAAGCGACAGAACCTAGAGCAGTAAGCATATACCTTTAGAAACCATAGCTACACTCTAGAAGTTTGGTCCATTATGTGGAAATTGTAAGGTGAGATGCTCTAAAAAAGCCGGCATAGGAGTTCTGACCTTGGTGACAAAAACACTAGTAGCGACGACATCATGAGGGCTCTTTGGCGATCCAGGTGGCATAGTCTCCTTACAGAGAAGAATGGAATGCCCAAGCTCATCTGGTTTTAAACTCGATAATGGGACTATTTCGTTTCGAGCTTGCTTCGCTGAAATCAGGCGATCTAAGCAAAAAAATACTCGTCCAATTAAAGATGAGGCGCTCACTATACGAGAAAATCGATTTTTTAAAATGATCTACGCCTCGAGCAAGAACCCTTTTAGATCTCATTCTTTCAAAGTAATAATGGTTTGTATTGACTACACCAATGAACGTTTCAGAGAATCAAGGATACTAACAAACTTTTGTTACTCAAATAAATATCTTAGTATCCCATACCCTGCGGAAGACCAAATCACTTTAAATCAACCATCAAGGTTCGAACTTGTTATATGGTACAACAGACCCTCGAACAATATTTTACCTGTACTGCTATATCGAACGCAAAGAGCACATCGTCCAGCTAACCGAGAGAATAATAATCTTTGCACTAGCATTACAGATGTCTGAAAAGGATGCTAGAAAAGGAAAATGATCTGAAGAAACTCCAAGAGAGTGGAAGAGAAGCAGCCACGTCCAGACGTAGATAGTCAAAATAATAATATTAGAAACACACAATTGTGCTTAAACTTCTGCAATCCATCGTTTAGACCAAATTACTAATTTTGCTTTAAAAACCGAATATATGAATACTTACTGATCCATGCATAATATCTCTTTTGAAGAGGAGATGGATAAGATATAAACTACATGTGATTACCGGTAGAAAAAAAAA